GTAAAGGGATTCAATTTCATGTTGCGAAGTTACACCATGGTGTAACTACCAATGACTTTCAAACTGTGCCTGATCATAAATTGTACGATCAATCCTCAAACCAAATATGTACAATTTATCGAATGAATCAAATTTTGATTTTTTTTATTAAATAATAAAAATAATAATGAATACAATTTATAATGTAGTAAACTACTTGAATACTATTTTGGTATACACAATATACATGTTTACTGCTGAAAACATTCTTACAAGTGATGTAAATTAGCGCCATCTGGAGATTGAACCCAGAACAAAGGATGAAAAATATCGAGATCCACCATGGTTGATATTTGAGTGACAGTATATCACTATATTTCCACCATGTGCATTCTGACCTTCATTGAAAGTGACATTGAAGTTACGATTTAGAAAGTCATAGACTGTCAGAGTGAAGGTGATATACTAAAAACCACCACGACGTACATAATAGCCGTTAAATAAATACAAAAATTCTGTAAAATAAATGGTGAACCAGTGAAATTATATACTGATTTTAATTAAAATCAATTAAAAATACCATCTAAGAGTAGTCATAGCTGACGTTGACAAAATATTTTTGATATTAAAAAAAATTTTACACTCGGGTAAGAATTGTAATAAGTTCGTTAAATATATATATATATATATATATTCCTTAAAACGTATTATTTCATCCTTCTTAAAGGATATTGTGGTGAAACCAGGATATCTTTTTATCAGGAACAAGCAGTCCTCAGGTTGGTATATATATATTGCAAACCAACTTCACCTGTGGATGGTGAAACCACTTTATCCCGGGATTCTCAATAAATGAGAAAGCTTCTATTATCTAATTCAAAAACCAAGGAAAACCAGATTAAAAGGCTAAATTTTTTTTGATGAAAAATTGATACGAGTGAGTACGACAGCCAAAAAAATATAAAATTATGAAAAAGCATTCTGCATAAAAACATATATATATTAAATGAGAAAAAAATAATATTTGTATTCAAATTGATATGTTTAAAAAAATATAACCAAAGTCTACACACCTCACGTGTTCAAAAAAAATAACTGTACAAACAAGAAGAATTGTTCTTAAACTATTTAAAATAAATTGTCGAAAATCTAAAGCGGAGTTTTAGGCGCTTATGATTTTCAATAAAAATTATCCCTGTATAAAAGGTTTTCTTCACAAAATATGTAACATGACACAAAATTTTACTTTTTTGCCAAAACAAGTTTTTTTTATGAATAATAATTATTATGAGTAAAATTAGTAAAAAAATATAAAAACTGAAAGAAATTATACATATACATTTATACAAATCAAAAAAAAAAAAAAAAATTTAGGATTAGTTTGAATTATTAAATATAATATAAAAAAGCATGTAAAAATAAAATATATATAAAATTAAAAAAAAATTATAAATATTTAAAATTATTAAATAAATTAAATATTAAATAAATTAAGGTAAAATTACTATGATCAAAACAATATTATAAATAATGTGTAGTATATTTGCTAAAGATTAATAATATATGAACATTTCAAATAATTTAAAAATGGAAATTTAAACTTATATTTAAAATGGGTTGAGTAATTTATTAGGGTAGTGATAATCGTTTTTGGGGTGTTTCTACAGAATTTTTGGCGACAGAAACACCAAGGTATACTGAAAAATGTATATGAGGGGTGGGCAAAGCCAAAGAGGTGTAACATCAGAACCTCATTCAAACTGGAATTCTACCTTGTGTTTATTTTAAATTGAAAGGCTAAGGCAGATATATGTGTACATCCATTTCCTCTTATTTTATTGTTTTCCCTCTTTTTCTTAATACAAACTATGATGACAGTTACAAAATAATCAGAGGTACACAAATTTAAGTGTGCTGTCAAGTGGATAAAGAACTCCCCTATCCGGCGAGCTAAGCCGCAGCCTACCAACATGTACCTACTCCACTTAACCCAGGCAGTCACAAACACTTACCGATCTAACCACACTGGCCGGTGATGATACAGAAGCTAATGTCCGACGACTGTGCCATAGAGCAGCCTACCCATTCCCTTTGCATTTATTGGAAGAATGTGTTGAACCTGGTTTACTGAAACAAATTCATACTGGTGCCGTGTGTGTATATCCGGCACGAGTTGCAGATGCTCACCGTTGTTTTGAACAGCTAAAGGCTGATGTACCAATTGCTGCTGTGGCAACCGGGTTTCCCACTGGACAATATGGTTTGAAAACACGCTTAGAGGAAATAACATTTGCCATTGAATCGGGTGCCAAAGAAATTGATATAGTGATAAATCGTCAGCTGGCACTTACTGGACAATGGGAAAAGTTATACGATGAAGTGTGTGAAATGCGTAAGGCGTGTGGTGATAAGGCTCATTTAAAAACGATTTTGGCGATCGGTGAATTGGGATATATGGAAAATGTGAGTATGAAGAATTATAGAAGATTTTTATAATAAAATTTATTGTATAACTGCCAAACATGGAAATTGTCTTAGGCTAAAGGTGGTGGGGCTTCCAGATTAGCAGTTATTTTAGTAAAAAAAATTATCTAAGAAAATTAATACACTTTTATTTATTTATTTTTATTATTTTTTTATTGTGGGAGAAAACTATGAATTACTATGTAACATTTCCTTGGAAATTTATTGTACATACTTATTAGAAATCATTGATGCTGTTATTTTTAAAACACAAAACCCCAATGACTTTTTCACTTCATTTTTTTAGGTTTACAAAGCCTCAATGGTTTGTATGATGGCTGGTGCCGATTTTATTAAAACATCCACGGGTAAGGAGTCAGTAAATGCCACCATACCCGTTGGTTTGGTTATGATATGGGCTATACAAGACTTTCAACGAAAAACAGGACAAATTGTTGGCCTCAAGCCAGCCGGTGGTGTTCGTACGGTACGTGAAGCCATTACATGGATGACATTGGTTAAGGAGACATTAGGAATGCAATGGCTGCAGCCAGCCCTATTCCGTTTTGGGGCCTCCGGTCTATTAGATGATATTGAAAAGGTAGTTCGCAAAGGACTTACCGGGCAAGAAGTCAAGGCAGGGCCTGTGGCAGCCTACTAAATACAATGTGCATTTTTTTGAAATTAAATTAGACTCCCTTTTTTGTATTTTGTATATTTGTAAAGTAAATGTAAATGTGTTTTGTTGTACTAAATATTATACATTAAATTACAAATATATAATTGGATTATTACAGAACATTTTATATATACACATTTTATAAGTTAAATGACTTTAAATCTTAGTTTTGTTTGCTTTATTAGAATTATTACAAACGTCTTAGGGATGTAAAATCCCTTATTAGGGGTATTTGAATTGCAGCTGCTGCTATTAAATCCTCCTCACCTTGATTTAAATAATCATCATGCTGTCCTTGTTCTGCATCATTTTGTGACTTATTGTCGAGTTTATTGGTTCTATCGGGTACTTTCATGTCCACAGCAAAGAATGTGTCATCAAAGTTAATGCGATTGCGTTCATCGTTCATAAGGTAAACATCTTTTGGTACTTGCATCGACTGCTTATTGCCAGGAGAAGATAACTGTTTTTCATAGTTGTTCAGCCATTTAATGTTGATGTGTTTGTTGGAGGCATTAAATTTTTTAGGAGATTTTTTAGGTTTTATGTCATAAAAATTCTTTGCAGCCGCATCCGAGTCTTTGGGCTTTGGCGGTGGGCTAAATGTATCCATTTTACGACTTTTGCCGTCATGCTGTTTCACTTGATGGGTTTCATCACTCTCGTCATAATCGTATAATGGTAAATAGAAATTATATGGTTGACTGGGCGGTTGCATGTACTGCATGGGTACTGCAACTTGTTGGCTTTCGGATGAGGGCAAATCAATTTGTCTCGCATCCAGATGAGGCTTGAATATTTCACTTGCTCTCCTTAGAAGTGCCTCCAAACGTTCTATTGTTATCATATGGGAATGCATAGGATGTATATCCTCCGTTTGAGGATTATTTCTGTTATTACGAGGTGGCGGTGGAGTACCTTCTAGTAAAGCCACATATACCATAAAGAACACCTTAAAATAAAAATATTATTTGTTTGAAATAACCACATAATATTTATGTTTTTTTATTTCACTCACTAAAATCACTTTGAAAAACATTTTTGCAATTTGTTGCAAATGGAAACTACTGTGTGTGCGTACGATTTATGTAATCCACGTTTAAGTCCGCTGGTCACTGTTGTAGTAAATCTTGATGCCAGCTACAGCCGCATTTATACCACAAACTGCTCTAATCATAATGATGTATAAACGGAAGCTCGGAAGTCTTCGTTTAAAAATGCACACATACCAACCATCGGCGCAGACATCATTACTTCGGGATGCTTGGAGAAAAACAATGCTTTGAAAAACAGGTAAATGTCTTTTGAAGTCGATTGTAGGCGATTATGATGATACCCTACATGAAATTCTATTGAAATCCGCCTTTACTATGGAGTTTTATAAACAGAGATGGAAAAATTGTAAAATTAAGTCACACTCTTGCTAATATAAAACCAGTACAGAAAGTCGGACGTGCCGACTATATGATACCCTTCCCCACTTTGGTTAAATACAAGAGATAATGTAAAGATTCTTATTGTAAGTTACCGATATAAAGCATGTACAACATACGTCCTTCTATAAAAATTTTTATCGTATATAATTGGGGCACCTTTTACATTCTAGACACAATTCAGTATGTTATACAAAATTTCGTGTAAATCGAGAGAAATATAGGAGCTTTAGTGCACCGTTTACATAAAACCGGACGAAAATATATATGGGAGCTATAACTAAATCTGAACCGACTTTTACGAAACGTGGAACACATAATTCTAGACTAAATTCAGAACCCTATGCCAAATTTCGTGTAAATCGAAAGAAACATGGGGGGTTTAGTGCACCATTTACATAAAATCGAACGAAAATATATATAGGAACTATGTCCAAATCTGAACCGATTTTCACAAATTTCAATAGGGTTGGTCCATGGGCCAAATAAATAAGTTCTACCAAATTTCATGCAAATGGGATTATAAATGCGACCTGTACTATGCATATTCTCAAAAGGAACCATGTATATCGCTTCCTTTTGCCTCTTACAAACATGTGCACAAAGACGTAATATGTGCCAAAGTGTTGTGAAGGATATAAAAAGAGATTCCCATTGTGAATGGATGATACAAGTAAGCATTCCTGTGAGTCTAACCCTTATGGAAGGACGTAAATTACGAATGTGTACAAATATCTCTCTGGGTATAACTTATTTGTGAATAAAAATCGATACGTAATATTTACGTTATGCGATTATTATTTTCAGCATTTTAGTTGTCATATATAAATATTCCATTATGGGATCTTAGTGTGTAAACAACTTCTTTACAGAACAATATATGTTTATGTTTCTACATAACCCCCATACATAATAGTGCCGATCGATTTTAGGTATTTTGAATATCCACTTCATGGTGGAGAGTATTACAAGTTTAGCTATGTCAAATATAACGATGTTTTTCTTAACCGAACTTTACGACATTCTTACTTCTTTTAAGTTATTCAAAAATGTTTTTCTCAAATACTACATCTTTTTCAAATATTATTCAAAACATTTCAATTGCAATTCAAGAATTTGTAATTCTAAAACTCAATTTGCAACTCATAACATTTCAGTTCTAATTCGAAAACGTAATTCGTAATTCACAACATTTCATTTGTAATTTCAAACTTTTCATATGTAGTTCAAAAAATTGCATTTGAAATTTAAAAAAAAATCCATTTGTAATTCGTATATTTTCATTTGAAATTCGTATATTTCCTTTTGAAATTCGTAGAGTTTCATTTGAACTCCAAAGAAATTATATTTACAATTCAAAGAATTCAATTTGAAATGCATAACATTTAACATGTAATTCATAATATTTCAGTTGTAATTCGTAACAATTCATTTCAAATTCATAGATATTCTTTGAATGCTACCAATAATATTTTTCGAATTTAAAATTAAATGTTATGAATAACAAATGAAATGTTAGGTCTTTCAAATCAAATGTTATGAATTTCAAAACGAATTTTATTAATTTAAAATGGAATTGAATTTTATGAATTTCAAACCCAATCCTTTGAATTTCAAATGGAAGTTTATGAATTTCAAATGGAATTCTATGAATTTCGAAAGGTATTCTAGGAATTACAAATGAAATGCTCGAATTACTGCTGATATGTTGTGAATTGCAAATGGAATTCTCGAATTGCAAATTATATGTTGTGAATTGCAAATGGAATTCTCGAATTACATTTGATATGTTTTGAGTGCTACCAATAATATTTTTAGAATTTAAAATTAAATGTTATGAATAAAAAATGCAATGTTAGGTCTTTCACATCAAATGTTATGAATTTCAAAACGAATTTTATTAGTTTAAAATGGAATTGAATTTTATGAATTTCAAACGCAATCCTTTGAAATTCAAGTGGAAGTTTATGAAGTTCAAATGGAATTCTATGAATTTCGTGTATTTCAAATGAAATGTTATGAATTTCAAGTGCAAACCTTTGAATTTCAACTGGATGTATATGAATTTGAAATAGAATGTCGAAAGGTATTCATGAATCACAAATGAAATTCTCGAATTACAATTGATATGTTATGAATTGCAAATGGAATTCTTGAATTACAAATTATATGTTGTGAATTACAAATGAAAGGTATCAAAAGGGCATAGTACTGTTAAATCGCACAGATTAAATAATCTTCTAATAAAACTTTTAAGCTTTGAATCAAACATTTGACTTGGAAAAATAAAAAAAAAAATACTTTATATAGGGTACCAACAGAGATTTGATGACTTTCTGTGCTGCTCCCAAAGTATTCGTTTGGAAAATTAACCTGTTTTAAATTTCATTGTGAGATTTTCCACATTAACTGAGAAAGATGTGGCACTTTCAATGTTACAAAAAATTATTCCATACCTAGAGTAGTACATCAGATGTACATAATCTTGCGTCGAAACATAAAAACATACATACACAGAAAAGTGCAACAAAAATTGTGTTTCCATTGCATATTGCAACAAACATTTTTTATTACTATACAGCGAAAAAATTATGAGACATACATGGTCATATATATAATAAAATACCATCATATAAGAGAGCATATTATTTAGGCTAAGATGTAGGCGCATGCGCAACCTGTTTTCCTCTATGGGTTTTGTTTATTTTCCGTTGGTGTGTGTGCGTTTGTTTTGCCCATTTTTCCAAGACTAAATACATTGGGGTTTGGGGTAGGCCTACACGTTGTATGTGTGTAATGAGTTCAATTTGATTATAAAACTAATTGTGTGTAAAATGTTGTTTTTGTCCAACAACTAAAGTATGTTGCAGTTGTCCCCTTAGTCAGCCAATGAAAAGTGAAATAATTTCATTGGATCAGTTAACTTGATAGAGTTTATTGACATTCTCATTACTGAAGAGTGTGTGCGTGTGTTTGAAAGTATGGGTGTCACAGCATATCAAAACAAGATACTGCAAGTATGATTACATGTTGAGGATGTGAACCTGTTTCTGTTTCCTATCATTGTATGCTAGTTTTTTTCCTTATGATTTTTAGTAAGACAAGTTCAAAGTTAGACACGAAACCTAACAACTTCACAAGTCTACTACAAGGAAATTGAATGAAATTGGCACAATCGGGTTTTAGTGGTTGTTTTGTAATTTATGAAAACAAAACAAACAAAAAATTAACAAATAAAAACTAGGATACTTTTGATCCACAAATGGTTTGGTCAATAATTTCAATACCTATGGAATGTGTCGGTTTCAAACTGCACCTTTTTTAAATGTTATTCAAAACATTCAATTGCAATTCAAGAACTTCATTTGTAAATCGAAAACTCGATTTGCAATTCATAACATTTCACAACACTTGTAATTTGTAATTCACAACGATTCATTTGTAATTTTAAACTTTTCGTATGAAATTCAAAAAATTCCATTTGAAATTTAAAAAATTGCATTTGTAATTCGAATACTTCCATTTGAATTTCGTAGAGTTTCATTTGAAATTCAAAGAAATCCATTTGAAATTCAAAGAATCCAATTTGAAATTCATAACATTTCACTTGTAATTCATAAAATTTCAGTTGTAATTCATAACAATTAATTTCAAATTCATACATATTCCTTGTGTGTTAACCATAATATTTTTCGAATTTAAAATTAAATGTTATGAAAAACAAATGGAATGTTATGTATTTCAAATCAAATGTTAAGAATTTCAAATGGAACTATTTAATTTTCATATGGAATTTTATTAATTTCAAGTGGAATTTTATGAATTTCAAATGCAATACTTGGATAATGGAAGTTTATGAATTTCAAATGAAATTCTATGAATTTCGAAAGGTATTCTATAAATTACAAATGAAATTCTCGAATTACAACTGATATGTTATGAATTGCAAATGGAATTCTCGAATTGCAAATTAAATGTTGTGAATTACAAGTGGAATACTCCAATTACATTTGATATGTTTTGAATAGCATGTGAAAAAGGTGTAGTAAAACTTTCCAAATGTATAAATGAAAAATCAAAATTTTAATAGAAATTGTAGCAAATAGGATGTTATTGGAGTGGATATGATATACACACCCTAACCGTTTGCTCCGAAATTTATCCCTCCATCATTCAACGCTTTGATATCATTTTATAATTTTTATTTTATTTTTGTAATAAAAAAATGTTTGAATTTATTTATTTTTTTATAGAAACTTATAACAAACCTAAACAAAATAAAGCAGAAAAAGTTTATTAACCTCGAACCAATTCTGGCATGCCATCGATAATAATTTGTAGAGCTTTCAAATCCTTTGTTACAGTGTCAGTAAGAACTTCCATGGCTTTCTGTTGCATGCTCAAGAATGATTTCATTTCCTCTTCACAATCTTTATCGATGGTATATTCACTACCACCAGTTAGGGCATACTGATTTCGCTGCATACGCATTTGTGACAGCAATTCACTCAGGCGACCCTTTAAGAAATTGCAAAAAAGATACATCAAGATCTACTATAGAAAAAAGTACATTCATGTTTACCTTAAATTGTGTAGGAGCTGATATAAGAGCTTGCATATTTTCTAATTTGGAGCGTAAATTTTCCTCTTCAGGTGTCAGCGCCAAGCCCACTTTACGTGTACATTCTTGTTTGACAATTATCTGTAAAGATTATAAGAAAATTAGAAAAAATCAATCAAGATATTTTGATTTAACAACTCTACCTTTAATATTTTGTGACTTAATTCGGCCAATTTACGTTTGTATTCCATTATTTTTGCTGTTGCCGCTGTGTGTCTTTGCCTTAATTCCGCCAAATCACTTTCCACTTTGCGCAAATATAGATAATGAGTTTGAGTTTCATTTTCTTGACATTTAATGCGATACTTTAAATCATTGAAACCGATCATTGGAACTGGTATAAATTTCGAAGGATCAGGATTGTCAATTTTAGCTTGCCGCCACATTCGCGGATCTACACCTTTTGGAGGATTCTCTAAATATTCCTTTAATTGATCTTCATCGGGCAATACCAATGCCAATACCTCAGCAACACCCAAATTGTTTAATTGTCCCTTGACATTGGTCTGATTTAGATAGTTAGCCAAATCTGTGGCTAAAATACGTTTAGTGTCATTGGGTGCCAATTGCGACCTCTCCTCTACGTAGATAACAATTTGGCTTTTCTTTTCGTCACATTCTTTACTCGATTCGATGTTAATTTGTAAATTGGGTCTATTACCAAAAACACCATTCAATGTGTTTATTATTTGTTGTTGCTGGGCTTTGACATCGGCAAGGGGTTTATTGAAATTTAACGCTACCAAACCCATTTTGTTGTCTTTTCCGGGTAGACGACTGTAACCCATGGCTTTTAATCGGCACAAGTAGTTTTGTGGTGTTATTTCAACAGGAGCTGCATTTTGTGAATAGAATGATTTACCAATACCCCACATTGCTTGTAGATAATTCCATTTTGCAATGATCGTGTCGCGTTCATCACCATAGATGGATACATTGAAAATTGATTGGGCAAATGCCTCGTCCGCAGTGATGGGAGGTGGCTGTTGTTGCTGTTGGCCCATCATGAAGCCAGTATTGCCACCGAATCCACCAAATCCTGGTGTGACTGTTGTATTTGTTGCTGGCTTGCCAAATGCTGTAAAAAATTAATATCGATGGAAAACGTTGAAGAAGGCTTTCATTCGGAATAAAAAATTTAATTCAGGGGAAGAAATTTAATTAGAAAATATTGAAATATTTCCCATAGGTAGCCTGTTGTTTCCTGATTACAACAACATAATGTTTTTTTCTTCCCTAGATATAAGGTTTCAAAAATGCCCCAATTTTAACTTATTTTTAATTCAAAAATTACATTTTTTGGCCACCTCTCAGAATAATCAGATAGATTATTCTAATAGAATAGTTTTTTTTGGGTGTCCGACCTTCTGCCGGGCATTTAAGACTTCTATCGACAGATACCAACACCGGCTACCCGACCGAGCTTCAGCTGGATATTTAAGACTTTATCCTATGGACAGATACCAACACCGACCACGACAAAGAATTTCCTTGTGTTTGTAGTGTTCTAAGGCCCATATCTTTTGATTCACAACTGATACTGCCACATATCGCACCATTTTGGATTAAACCCGCGTTTTTGACTGTAAACGGGTTGAGAAAACATTTACGTCACCACTCAATGGAAAAATATTGTCATAAGCTTTAAAATAATACCCATATTGTATTAATCCGATCCGTAGAATTGAGTATAACCGGGTACCCGTACCCGTACTTCCGGGTCAAATAATCGGGTACGTCCCCCAAGAAAAAAATATACTGTGAACTCTCGATAATGTGAACACTCAAACTGACATTGATGTATTGAAAAAATCAGGGAATTACCTGTAAATAAGCTGGTCGAATCGAAAATGTGAACAAATTCAAAAATATGTACTACCTCGACATTAATTAGTTCACATTATCGAGAGTTCACTGTATCCCCCATCATTAGGGTAAAAATACCTATCTCTGCCTACGTAAAATATTTCAAAAAAATCTGATCGTTTTTACTTAAGCCCAAAATGGTGTAATTTTCGTAAATTTGGTGCCCCATATCTCGGGAAGTATACATTTCCCCCAAAAAGAAATGATGTTGTCGTTATCACCATACTAAGTGATACATATAGTGGAAATTTTAGATTATTCTTAGAGTTGGCCTTAAAGGAAAAAATATATGCCAAACTCTTCTTCCTCTCTCTCCCTCTCTGCATTTCTTTAAATAATCAACATAAAAACTAATTTCTTACAGGTTCCAAAGCCTCCAAATCCTCCCGTTGAAGTTTGAGTACCAAAACCGCCAAACGCTGGAGCAGTTGACGTCGTTGATGTGGCTCCAAAACCACCAAATCCACCAGTTGTGTTACTTGTCGACGTTCCAAAACCACCAAAAGCTGGTGCCTGCGACGTAGCAGCTGCTGTACCAAACCCACCGAAACCCGTAGATGTGGCCGTATTTGCGGTTCCAAATAAACTCGGAGCAGATGATGTAGCCGTATTAGCTGTACCAAATGTTCCAAAACCTCCCAATGTTGGAGCTGTGGTAGTACTTGTTGTTGTGGAACCAAAACCACCGAATCCACCAAGTGTCGGCGCTGATGTCGTGCCGAACGCTGACGTTGTGCCCGTTCCTGTTCCCGTACCAAAGGAGGAAAATAATCCAGTAGCTAAAATAGTAATAACTTGTATTCTCATCGGCATAACAAAAGCAACAAACAAACAACGGATCACACTCACGTTTAGCCGGTGTGCTGGTGGCACCCAATGAATTGTTAGCTCCAAAAAATGACATATTGAAGGAGTTTGTGAACAAAATAAACTTCTAAATAATTTTTTTACCAAATGTGTAAATTAATAAGTCGCCAATATAATAAAATATATGACAATTTGGCGCACACAACAAATTTTCACAACAGCATATTTGCTAAATGTCAAAATGTTGCGCAGAGTTGCCATACTGTGTAGCATGCCTTGATGTAAATTAACGGCTACAAAAAATTACATCGGTGCTTTGTACTTCGGTTTGACACACGTGTTGAGTTTGTTTTATTTGTTGGGGACCGCGGATTGTTTACATTTTATTTCTAGAAACAAAAAAATCACAAAATAGCTATGATGGACGGTATAAAGGACTTATTATTTAATTTCATATGTATATAATTAATTTATAAAATAAATATTTAATTTCAGACGATAATGTACCATTGCCTCCCAGTAGTGATTCTGAAGAAGAACTCTTGGACGATTGTGATACTTGTACACCATTCGAGTTGGAGCAATGCTATTCGCACAAATACAGACTGTTTGATGAAACGGCATTGTCCTTGAAAAAAGAATATGTGCTAAGCTTGGAAAAGGACAAGTAATTCTACAGAAAAATGGTTAAACACTGCGGGATTATCGCATAGTAATATATTTGTTTCCTATTTTAGTTCTCTAACTCGGCTGGCGGCCGGTTTGACCGACACATCTGTACATATTCTCGATATAAGTTCCGAAAGGGGTTTATCACTTTTCGTAGATCTCCCACCAATGCCAGCCATCAAACCGGGTGTTAAAGTATGTGGAGTTCGTTTCTTGGATGAAAGCCCAAACAACTTACTTGTGGGTACAACAAATGGAATAGTGCGGTTATTTGATATACGAACACAAAAGGAACAGGCACGTTTTGAAAACGATGCTATTATAGGAACACAACCAGCACCAAAAAATATATGCACCTTTGATCGTAATGCCAATAGCCGTTTATTGTGTACCGGTACCGAGGAGCTGCACTCGAATGTTTATTTAGTGTTCTACGATCTGAGAGAGCGCAAGCATATGGGAGACTATTTCGATTGTCATCAAAGTGATGTCACTACGCTACGTTTTCATCCACAAAATCCGGATATTTTGTGTTCTGGTTCGACAGACGGTCTAATCAATACATTTGATTTGAAAGAGGCAAGCGAAGAAGATGCCCTAAACATAACCATAAATACTGAGAGTAGTGTGCACAAAATTAATTGGTAAGTATCAAAGTGCCATATATTTATTTATTTCCAATAGATAAAACAAAACTAACACATTCCATTTTGTTAATTTCAGGCATAAAAACGTCTACGAAAAAGATATTTTATCCTGTATTACTCATACTAATGATTTCAAAGTATACGAAGCCGAGGAGGGCGATCTACTGGCTGAATTTGAAAGAGATAAGATCACCGAAATTATTAAGCGCAAAAGTCCTGCCAACTGCAATCTTATCGATGCTCATAGTACATCTGACGGTGGCATTTTATTATTGACTGGTTCAAACCTCAACAAGGGGTAAGCTTAAAAATTTTATAATTAAATAATAAATAACTAATTTTTGTGTATTTTCAGAGAGATTATGCGTTCATTGGCCTATCAGAATAAGAAGCTATTACCGTTTGCAAACTTCGATGGTAATAAACAAATTGTACGTGAAAGTGTTTACGATGCCAATACAAATGTACTGATAACAGCTGGCGAAGGAAGTATTGTTACGCTATGGACACCAGATTCAAATAATGTCGGCAATAATTCGGGATCTAGCAAATTGAAAGCCAAAAAGTCTAAATCTAATAAAGCAAATCCGTACTAGGACATTTTTACATATTTGTTATGTATAAAAAGTACAATTAATGTAAAGAATTTAAATAAAATAAAGATTAGGTCGACAAACATAAAAAATACACTATGCAATATCATTTATTCCTGAAGATTTTTTTTTTTTTTTTTTTGAATATATCCATTTCCCTTTTATATTGATGTAAATAAAACAAAGGCAAGAAAAATAAGGTTTACAATGCCATTAGAAAGGGTCCTCTGATAGATTCCCATGCAGAGTTGTAAATGGTTACATATGGCACATGGCTACATGTTCGGCAACAACATTTTCTGAGACTTTTAGAGAATTCTCAAACAGATAGTTCTCTAGAAGTACTTAGGCTTGACGTTGTGGACGTAACAAAGAAAAAGGGTTCTTTATTTAGTGGAGTGATATAGGACTCCCTGGGACAATATCCCAACAAAAAAACTAAGAGAACTTATAAGCATTTGTGGCGAAATCCGAAACTATAGTCTTCTCCGCCTTTCCCGAAAGTAATCGATGTGACCATAACCCACTTTAAAAATAAAAATCTTGTTGTTTTTATATTTTTTAAAACCCCAAGAAATGGATTAAGCTGGCTTACCTAAAAAAGGAAAAGAAAAATAATTTACAAACATTTTTGTTGTTGAAAAAAGAAAAATCTTATTTTTGATGGCGGGCATGATACTGGAACATCGGTATCCGAAAATTCCAACCGCGTTATAAAGGATACATGTCTGGAACTAGGATTATTTGCTTCGCTCAACAAAATGGTGGACCTTTAAAAAATATACCAAGTTAAAAAATAAGGATGATCTTGACTGATTTGATTTATCCTAGTTCATTCGATAGGTTACACTCACAGAGAAACATCCCAAAATTTTGAATCGATCGGATTATTAGTTTTTGATTCATAGTGCCCGCCATTCTCAAAAACACTGTTTGGAGAAAAATGCGTTTAAAGTTTGAGAATCACTCTTGCCGTCACTTGATGCTGACACAATAACTCGGCTATATCCCCAAGAGTTGTTGAGATTTTCACTTGAAATTTCAGAGGGACATTCTATAATTAGTGTAGATTCGAATTAAATCAAAATACAAAATTAAAACTTTTTAGCCGAGAATGGGGGCCCTTCAATAAACAGTGGCGAAAGTCTCAAAGAAAGTGGTTGCTTGGAATTATGAGTTGAATAGATAGTATTCCTCCACTGATATGGATGACATACACGATCAACTGTAAAAATTACCCTTCCTTGGTTTAGAAATGAGAATATGACACCCATTATTAATAAATCAATGGAAGCTTTACGTCGGTAAGGAATTCAGAACGAACATTCGGTTCTTAGAAGCTACATTACTCCTTATTACATCTGGAAAATTAGTATCTCCATAACCTCTCAAACATAAAGTTGTTTTCGACAATCTTGGCGATCATATTCAATGTCTCAAAACATTCAAAGTGCAGCAAAAAATTGTACCAAAGTAAAGCTACCTCATTCAATCCCATACACTGGTGGAATCTGACGAAATTATTACTAGCGGACGTACATATATATATATATTACTGGGGGCTGCACTTAGCTAAAAATGACCATGTAATTATTTTTGAGCAGAATCCTACACACACCCCCAAAGATTTACAAATCATAACAAAACATACACATTTAATTCCATAATACCATAAATCCATTTTGCATCCATATGTATATATGTAGTTTTGCTATTATAAATATATATATTTTTACAAAAAAAAAATTATAATTCACATAAAAGCAAAAAATACTCGTACAATTTGAATGTTACATAAAAAACCAATATGAAAAAATAAATGATGTTTTATGTACGCTCTTACCACATATGCATGTATATCTTTATATATTCTGTACATACATATGCTTGTATTTTCTCTTCTTTTTTAATTTACAAATTGTCTTTGCTACTTTTTTGTGAATATCAAAAAAGAGAATAATGTTATTCATTATAATGGTTGCTTTCTGTTGTTTATCTATTGATTTTCAAAAATAAAAAATAAGTATATAACAAAACTTAAGAATTGTGTTTTTTGTTGTTTGTTAGTGGCTTTTAACGTCAAGTTAAATTCCTGTGTGCTAAAATATTCATTCTTTTCTTTTTTATAAAATTAATGAACACCTGATAACAAATTAACATTTCCACAGGTGAGAATTATCCTTTTTCACAGAGCTCAACAAGTTCACGGTAATGGAGTCGGAGTAATCGTAGAGGCAGAATTATTATAGTAAATATGATACGAGCTATGATTTACATGAAATCATCGTAGTCATTGCCATCATCATAGCCGTAGTAATCGTCGCCGTATTTTTTGAAAGTATCAATATCCTGCAAAGAAAAGAAGAATTAATAAAGGGGAACATTAAAATTTACAATTATTCAAATTTAATACTTCAATACTTACATCGGTACCCAATTTCAGTGAGAACTTGCCCTTGTCTTTGGAAGCAGGTTTCTTGGCATTTTGTTTTTCTAGCTTCACCTTTTCTGTATGCAATATGTCTACGTTCGATTTCAGTTTTTTCAACTGTGCAAGAGGTACTAAAAATATGAGTGTTACAATACGTTTTCTGTTTGTTTTATTTTTAAGAAATTAAAAAAGGAATGTTCATTCAGAGTTACTTACAATTAACACATATGCTGTTCACTAAATCTTGAACAAATTGCAGAAAGTGTGGCGAATCTTTGCATTGTGACAATTTCCAACTTATCGCTTCGCCAAACTTTTTAAATTCTTCTTCAGTTTTGGGAATTGATGACTCATCCACACCAAATGTTTCAAGAGCACTCCTTAAATCTGATTCTTCTTGGATTTTTTGAATTCGCAATTTTTCAGCTAATTTTTCTTCAGGTGTCATATTAGCAATACGTTTGGCTTCTTCTTCCTCCGCCAGTCTCTGTAAAGTGGATAAATGTGTTATTGAAATTATATTTTTGAGTTTACGGGTTTGAGTTTAAAATGGGTTATAAAAATTTCAATTATTCGTTAACTTTCCACAGACCAAAACAGGGTTTTGGGAGTCAGATGCACATTTTTTAAACCTAATTCAAAATATTTGAATTGTAATTCTAATTGTAATTAAGTTCAATTCATATTTTGAGGATTATATTTATAGATACCGTCGTTATAACCGAAGTCGTTATGAAAAATTCGTTATGATTAAATTATTTCATTTGACATCCGAATTATTATAATTCTTGAATTTCAATTGAAACATTTTGTAATTCAAATTGAATTATTGGCTTACAAATGGTATTTTAGCAGACGGGGATTTTATCTCCCCTGATTTGGTTAAAAATTGTCTTAATTTTTTTCATTTATGTTGTATTACCCAGTTTTTCGGTAACTGTCACTTTTGAATTTATTCCTAGACGTTAAAAAAAGGAAATTAAACCAAAGATACGGAACTGTAATGATTCCAATTCTCTACAAAAAATCGACCTTGGAATTTAATTTTTAACCCCTATCTGCTCGTTCCTGTTTTGCTTGGTCTATGATCAAAAATGCCTTTCATTTGAATCTCAAATGCAAAAAAAAACCAGTAAGGAAAGTAGTAAAGTCGGACGGGGCCGACTATATGCTCGTTATATTAAACCTGTTTTAAAATATGTGATATTTATCTTGTGAATCTAACTAGATCTATCCATTAACATGTCATATGTTTGTTACAATGGGACAAAAGTATGTAAACCGAATTCATACAAATATCAATAGATCACCGTTGGGCTATGTCTGTACTTCTAGAAAACGCAACTACGTAATTACATGCTCAATTTTGTACGTTGTGCAAAATTTGATGTCAATCTGACTAACATGAGGAGTTTCATGCCCAAATTACTTACAATCGGGCGAAAATATATATGGAAGCTATATCCGATTTCAACAAAACTTGTCACAGGTTAGGTTATGTTAATTTCAGTACTTTTTGTTCCTATCAGCCATATATTTGATCCTTGCTGTGTCATTCTATAATATAAGGAAGCTATATCTAAATCTCAACCGATTTTCACGAAACATGGCACACATCATTCTGGACTAAACTTCTATCTGGGAGCTATATCTAAAACTGGACCTATTTCCTCGAAACTTGCAGACATCACTCTAGGTTTGAATCAGTACGTTATACCAAATTTCGTGAAAATCGAAAGATATATAGGGACATTGGTACACCATTTACATTAAATCGGACGAAAATATATATGGGAGCTATATCTAAATCTGAACCGATTTTTCCCAATTTCAATAGGGTTCGTCCTTGGGCCAAACAAATGAGCTGCGCCAAATTTCATCCAATTCGGATCATAAATGCGACCTGTACTTTGCTCACAAAAATACATGGACAGACAGACGGACGGACATGCATAAATCGACTTATAAAGTGATTCTATGCATATTCTCAAAAGGAACCATGAGTCTATCTCGTTTCCTTTTGCCTGTTACAAACATATGCACAAAGACATAATACCCTGTACCACAGTGTGGTGAAGGGTATAAAAAAGCACTACTCACCTCTTGTTCAGACAATTTTGCTTTATTGTGCTTAACCTTTACTGGGGCTTTTGGTTTTTCTTCAACCTTTTCCTCATCTTTTTTCTCCTCTTCATCTTCCCAGCTGTCCTGTAAAATGCAAAGGAAAATAACTGTGAATCATTAGAGCCAATTGATTCCTTGGAATAAATATTTTTTTTTTCAACTAAAATTGCATTGTAACTGCTGTCCATTGATTCACTGGCTCGCCATGCATGCACAATCAAACTCACACACACCCACATCCATACACAACAACAGCGCAGACAACAATTCAAATAAACACTTTCAATTGCTGCTGCTACTAAAAAATCATACACGTGTCATCTGGGCAGCAATGCAAGTAGCAAGCAAATAATAGGGGGATTTCCCTTCACCCACTACGGTGGTGCAATTCTTCAAATCACAATAATCACATACCTTAATGTCATCTTCTTCATCTTCGCCAGCCCACTTATTTATTTTATCGGGTATCACTACAGGTCTGTGTGCAGCACTTTCTAGAAACACAAAAATACATACAACAAAATTAACATTGCAGACACATCGCCATTAACATAAAAACGTTTGCATAATATTCATTCGAACAAGTGACAAATTTTATCAGTATTGGATTGGAAATTTCGAAATCTACATTCCTAGCAAGGTTACTAATTTCGCCTATTCTTGTGTGTGGGGCCATCGATCAAAGAGAGACCACATGGCCACATTTTTTTCTAGATGGAAATGCAAATTCCTTTGAGCATTGACAAACTTGTGGGTTTGGTTGTGTGTTCGTCATTCAACTTCGAGAAACATACCCCAATCGTCCTCCATTTTTTTGTTAATAGAATATTTACAAATCGACTGTTAATGGGAGCAATTAATTCGATTGTTAATCCTTTGCCTTTATTTGGCGAAAATAAAAATTTGCGTGTTTCACTAATGTGACGAATTTACAAAAAAAGTTAACTTGAATAATGCACGAGAGATTTGTTGCTTCTTCTTCAACAAGATTTTGACAGTTGACGACATAGTTGATTAGGAGTGTACTGTGTGCTGTTGGCACAGTGTTGATAAATATTGGACTGGATTTCAAATTAGGGTACCCTACTATCAAATATGAAATAGGTGTGTTCCATCACTTCCTATGAAATAAAACAAGTAAAATTGTGACAGTCGGTGCAGCCGATGTTCTGGTCTCAAGGTGGAACATGTTTTTAAACATAATTCAAAATTATGACAGTTTGTGGGGGAGCAACCAGAGATAATGGACCTATATAGCCGATAATTGTACTAAATCTATACTGAGTATAAATGAAGTTGCTCTATTGAGCTGTTATGGATGAAACAAATATTTCATGGTATTCACAATTGGATTTTGGAAAGAAATCATAACATTTGATTTATTTTTCGCGTTTTTAATTATGTGTTAAAAAATGTGAAATAAACACATCCACTTGTTGCGTACACTTATTTTATATGTGGCAGAACCACCTACCTACACTCAAGCCGCCCTACCTTGCATTATTTTATCATGATTAGAACCCATTCGGTAATAGTACGTTTACATTAAACCGGATTTCGTTAACCCAGAGGGTTTCAATTGTCAATTCCTTTGGATATATGCCAAATAAATCCTCATAGAGTAGGTTAACCCGGTAAAAAGTTCTAATGTATATGCCGTTTAAAAACAACTTTCCGAAAATACCGGAGTACAGTTATATGGGACTATTCTAAAACGGCAAATACATTAGAACTTTTTACCGGGTTATTTATTTTATTTGACATATATGCAAAGGAATTGACAATTGGGTTAACGAAATCTGGTTAAATGTAAACGTACTATAAGTAGTAGACGGATATCGATACTTTTTGTAGAGAGATTTACTGCCCAGTCGGAAGTACCAAATTGAAGCCAAATTAGTTAATAATGTCCTATCTCCCCAAAATAACGAATAATGGGGGAACCGTTGTATGGATGCTTTCCCAGAAAGATTTAGGAAGATTGGACATTTTTTTGAACTAAATTGTCCTGAGTTTAGTATTTTTAATTGTCATCGAATAGCTACAATGCTATTTTAATATGGAAACTCTCATAAAAAGTGGACCGATATCGCTTGGTGTTGTAACAGTTTATATGAATATTATTCCTTTTATTTGATTCAATCAAATAAAAGAAAGAAATTCAAGTTTGGCAGTGCAATTAAGAAATGCAGGTTTGGCAGTGCAGTGTGATATGACGACCCGTACAATATGCTGGACAGGCATTCTGCATCTGGTCATCAATCCGTGCCCAATACGAATTGAGACGACTGCACCATTCTGAACGTAATTGGGTCAAAACTAATCTGGTTTGTCCGGGCAGCTGACGTTCTTCAGCTGCGATGGGTGAGGGTCAGCTCACACTGTATTCCTTCAGCGCTGCGGCATTTGCATCAATATGAATGCTAATCAGACCGGCTCGTGTACAATATGCTGGACAAGCATTCTGCATCTGGTCATCAATCCGTGCCCAATACGAATTGAGACAACTGCACCATTCTGGGTGAGGGTCAGCTCACACTGTATTCGTTCAGCGCAGCGGCATTTGCATCAGTATGAATGCTATTCAGACCTGCTCGTATACAACATGACCTAGAGGCTCCTTTTTATAACGTTGGGTTCTCTCTCTAGATCATGCAGATCCACCATATGATGGTTATGATGATTGTCCCTGAAGCATCCGAGCTAAGCTGGCGTAAGTGGAGGATCTTCGTCTCCTCATGAAAATTATACATTGGTGTGATGTGAAGGCAATCTGTCGCAGTTCTCAGAGCGGCATTCTGACGGGTCTGAATAGTTCTCCATTGCCTAACACTAGTAATCGCTGACCACACTGGTACCGCATAGCAAGCCACAGACCGACTTATGGCTTTGTAAGAGGTTAAAAAGTACTGCCGGCAAGCGACTTGAGGACCTTGTTCCTAGTTTTCCTACTTTCCTACATATCACAGATAGCTGTGGTTTGCGCGGACGATTTGAACATGCGGTCGAATGTGACCCTGAGTATTTTGGGTTATTATGTGGTCCCATGGTACAATAATACAAGGTAGGCAGCTTGAGGTGAATAAATAAAAACAACTATGCACGTGTGGCTTCTTCTGTCAAAAATAAAATAAAAATACGCAACATGTGTTTGTGTTTATTTGACATTTTTTTCAACACAAAACTAAAAACCCGAAAAATGAATGAAAGGTTATGATTTCTTCCCAAAATCCAGTAGGGAATACCATCAAATATTTGTTTCATCAATAACAAAGTAATTACTTCCAGACGAACGTGTTTAAAAAATAAACTTTTTCGAAAATATAAGAAGTCAGGCTCATCTATAGACTATGCTAATTATTCTGTTGCTAGGTCCAAATATACCATAGAGTCCCGTAGATTGTAAATTACCTCAACAAGATCAAAAATAATTTTAAAACAAATCCGAAGTCATTTTATGAGTTTGTTAACTTAAAAAGAAAAGTCTCCTCAAAACCCACAATTTTGAAATGCAACAATAAGGAGTTTGTAAAAAAACTCTGAAATAGCAGAATGTTTTGCAAATTTTTTCGCCTCTACTTATTCATCTGCAGTTTGTCCAGATATAAGCTCATATCCTTATGAGCTATCCAAAATAGATCAAATATATATGCCTTTCTTACAAAGTCAAGATGTTGCTAAAAATTTACATACTCTAAAACCAATTAAACTTCCAGGTCCATATGGTATACCTAGCATAATTCTCAAATATTGTTCTGATACTTTAGCAACGCCTCTTACGTAGCTTTTTAATTATTCCTTAAATTTTGGTTATTTTCCCACTATATGGAAGAAATCTTTTATAGTACCGTTGCACAAATCTGGTAGTCTATCAAACGTTTCAAACTGCAGAGGAATTGCAAAATTAAGTGATATCCCAAAATTGTTTGAAAAATTAATTACTGCTGTTATTTCTCACAAAATTAAATCCATTTTAAGTCCATATCAACATGGCTTTCGTAGTGGTCTTTCAACTATAACAAATCTTATAGAGTTTACTTCAATTGTAATAAAGGGATTTGTTCAGCGAAATCAAACTGATACCATTTATACAGATTTTAGTAAAGCTTTTGATAGGGTTAACCATGAACTCTTATTATATAAATTAGATAATATGGGTTTCAGTCTAAACTTAGTCAAATGGATATCATCTTACTTACAAAATAGATCACAGCTAGTTTTGTTTGAAGGATGTCTCTCAAAATCGATTAACGTACCTTCAGGTGTTCCACAAGGAAGTCACCTCGGGCCGGTTCTTTTTCTATTGTTTATAAATGATTTGCCTACTTCTGTAGTACATTCTAAATTGTTAATGTATGCAGATGATGTCAAGTTATTCATTACCCATAATTCTGAGAAACAAGCCAATTTACTCCAAAATGATTTAAATAACCTTTTTCAGTGGTGCAGATTAAATTGTATGGATTTAAATTTGAACAAATGTAAACATATGTGTTTTTCTAGAAATTCTTCATTAATGAGGCAATACAATATTAACGGTTCGGTTTTATCAACAGTTGAAACATTCGTGGATCTTGGTATTTTAATGGATCCAAAGTTAAACTTTAACAATCATGTCATTTCTATGGTAAATAAAGCATATGGTGTATTAATTTTTATAAAACGGTGGGCCAAAGAATTCTCGGAATATAACAAAACAACTATACACGTCTCTTGTTAGACCTATATTAGAATATGGTTCTGTTGTATGGGATCCTCAATATGCAATATATTCCGATAAAATCGAATCAGTGCAGAAACAATTCTTACTTTTTGCACTGAGGGGTTTATATTGGAATAGTGATTTTGTGTTGCCTTCTTCACTAGCAGGTTAAAATTAATTCGGTTACATACATTAAAAAGTAGACGTATTATGTTGAACACCATGATGGTACTAAAAATATTAAATGGTAATATACCCTCTGATTTCCTAATTTCATCTATTAGAATAAATGTTCCTTTTCGATCTAGTAGATATTATCAACTATTATATGTAGATTTTCATCGCACAAATTATTCTATGGGAGATCCACTCAGTAAAATTTGTATTGATTTTAATTCTGTGTACTCTAATGTAGATTTTAGCAAGAATGTTGAATTTATAAAATCTAATATAATTGTATTTTTAAATGAGTAGTGCAACTTAATAACAAACTGGCTGTTGGAGTAGATTCTGTAGCTGGTTTTCTATTCCCTTCTCACATTCCACCATGATGCGGATTATGGTGTGTACGCGATCCCTACGAAAGGGGAGGTCGCCCCCTCGGTCGGCAGGGGTGGGAAAGTGAGGCGTGGGAACGTTCGAAAAAAAAAACAATACATACACATACACAAAATATGTATTTTGATATGAACAAGCCAGCTTTAGAAAAAATTGTAATCAGTTGGTAGCTGTGCCCTACCTTGTAATAATTATACCATGGGTGGCATTTGCTATCCAATGGGAACTCAAAGTACCAATATATAGCCAATTCGGTTGGAATATGTGCCGGAAATCCAAAAAATGGCGAATATTTGGTATTTGGACCGATATATCATTTTCAATAGCAAACCAAAACCAATTTGAAAGCTCTATCTTAAATATTGCGAGCTCTATCGTTATTTCAAACGGATAAGTTATTTTCAGACTTGATCTAGGCTTGGTAAAAATATTACTACGTTTAAAGCTTCAATAAAATTATATATTCCGTACGCTTCATATGGGACAAGAATTACAAAATGAGCTCGTACGGTTTCAATAGTATATCAACACCATTTGTAGTGAACTTGAATACGCGGTTGTCAATTTGATAACAGACTATTGACAACGGTTTCGAGCACAAGCGGGTATAATTTGACACATAATATCACCATAGTCAGCATTCACACGGGAAAATTTTGTGATAAAGTAAATTGAGTTTATAGACGAAGAAGTTAAGAGGAACAAAATATTCGCTGTAAAAAAACTGAAGTTGGATGCAGAAAAGTTTTGCATGTTCTTTCATTTTATGTTTTTTTTTTTGTCGGCAAACAAACGACAGTTAATAAAATGAAATTCTGTTGCGAGGAAAAAGAAAAGTATCTGCTTTTTTTTTTGCTGTCAAATAATACAAATTAAATTTTAATATGTCTTCATTGCAATCCACGGCTATAGTTTCTTCAAGAAATTCAAGAGTATCTTTCATAATTAAGCTTTTTATTTTCATTCCATAATTATAAATGGTCAAACGAGAAAATGATTGTGGGGAAGAATTGGAAAATTCATAAATTTGCGCAAGCATTATTTGCGTGTCTAAACAACAATGACATTTTTAAGAAATTGAGAAGAAAATTTGTCATGAAATGTTCTCTTGTGTCTACTGACATAGCGATGTTGAATTGACACCGTTCGTATTGTAAAAGGAACGAGATTCGAGAAAGAAACTATTGCAATTAATGAACTGAACCTAGTTCCGATCATTCATTTATTGAAATTTCTCCAATGTACTAGTTCGTTGCGGAACGGCCCAACTCTAATTGGATGTTAGGGAACCCTATAACATTATTGTTCGGCTTTGTAGTCTATCTCCGCTGATTTAATTTTTCATTAATTCAAAAATAAATTCTAAATTAAAGTTGTTCTTCAAACAAAAACTATATAAAACAAATGTTTACCCCAGAATAGTTTCATATTCCAAACAGTTTCAATAAAAGCTATAACATTTTGTTGACCCGACACTGAATGTTGCGACTGCATTCAAACGACGTGTGTGGGTTGTAGTAGTGACTGACTCGACGAGTGCATTGCTCTAACTTCATTTGGGATATTAGGGGAAAGAGTTTAGTTTTTCTTTGTTACTTGAAAGTAAAAGAACAACAATGGCTGCTAAAGTGATTTCGCAAGAAACCTTCGATGATGTCGTCAAAGAGAATATCATCGAATTTTCAATGGACCCCGAAGAGGCTAAACAGGAAACCATCAAACAATTTGAAGCTCAGGTAATTACAGTCAATTCCGCATTTCCAAAAATGCCCAACACAATTTCCACTTGAATGATATTATGACTCATATGTTTTTGTTTTAAGGGAATTAACTTGGCAAACATCATTAAAGATTTGGATATCAATACGGACACTGGAAAGCCCATACTCAATGAGACAATAGACCAATTAAAACTGCATTTGGATGAAAAATCCACAGACAAAGAAAAGTTAATCGACCTGCTAAAGGTTATTGATGCTGAGTGTCAAAAATCTATACCACATCGAGTGTTGGCTGCAAAGCATGAAACCCACACATATATTTTGAAAATATTAGGTCAGCAATTGGAAACCGCAGATGCCCTAACGGACACAGACCTATTAGAGACTTCACTGAAGACATTGAATAGCCTCTATCACATTCAACCCGATATATTCGATGCCACAGCATTGACCTATGTTAAAGCATTGCTTGATCTATTTGCCACAAAGGAAAAGGTTATTTCTCTGACACTACAATGGCTGCAGAAGTGTTGTCTGATGCACGAAATCAATCGTCAGAATATAGTGAAGGCCGATATTGCCAAACACTTGAAACCTTATGTGACCAAGGAAAACGGTAAGGTGTTGCGTGATGTATTATCTGTTTTGCGATTTTTGGTTTTGGACGATGACATACGTGTGGAATTTGGTTGTGCCCATGAGCATGCTCGACAACTGGCCGGAGAATTTATTGTAACACTGACACAGCTGCTGGGCGAATTTCAAGATGTTAATATTTTAGCTGATCTAATGCTTACAATTGGTTCGCTGGCCGTGCGTCAAGAGTTTTGTGTTGCAGTCGATGAGGCTGGTTGTATTAAGTTGGTGCTGCAAGCTATGGTGAGTATAGCAATATTCGATGGGGGTGGAATTGATTCAAACAAAGAAAAGAAAACCGGAATAGATTTTCGATGATGGTTAAAACATTTGTAGCAACCCATTGCCCATGACGCTGTTTTTTAAAACGCATTTTCATTCCACATTTCTTATATTTTTCAATGTACTCTATGTATTTTTTAGAATGATAATATCAACTCTGTACGCTTAAATCGAGAAGCTCTTAAACTTTTACGTGCCTTGGCTGGACACGATGCTGTTAAAAGCCACATTGTTCAGGGAGGTGTGGCACCCATCCTAAAAGAAGTGATTCAAACACACATGGTATGTAAATATATATTTAGTATATAAAATAATAATATAGTAAAAAAAAAAATATCTCTATTTTCATAGGCCAATGAGAATGTGGTCAGTGCCGCTTTAGCCTGCATCTCCACACTAACGTTGCGTGTCAAAGATAATAGTAAAACATTTTTTGACACTGGTATAGCAGAGACTATTGTTGAAGCTGTAAGACGTCATCCCAAAAATAAAATTGTACAGGTAAGTAGTGAATTAAGGGCTGCTTAGATACATTTAAATAAATACAAAATGATTTAATTTTAGCGTAACGGTGCTTGGGCTATACGTAATATGGTCTCAAGGTCTAGAGAACAATGCGACACTTGGCTATCGTTTGGTGTTGAAGATGTACTCAACGCTGCCATGATCGAACATCCATCTGTTGTTACCGATATTAAGGCAGCATTACGTGATCTTGGTTGCAAAGTTGAACTAAAAGAAGAATGGACTGGTACTGCCGAAAAGAAAATTCTCAAATGAAATTGAGGGACACACAACCATCAAACTTGGTAAAGTCCATATAACAAGAAGTTAAAACAAGAACAGAGGCACTGCCAAAACAAGCATTGTTATGAATATGGTGGACTCATTTGCCGATGATTACATTTTTCGAATTGCATTGAATAACCATTTAGTAATTAACATCCTTTTACAACAAACGAATAACCTAATAGCTATGATGCGTTTCCATTTGCACATCATAATTAACTTTGCATACATTTTGGCTAATATATTTTTACACACAAGGATTATTTTATATATATATATAATATCTTATAAAAAGAATTTGTATACAAATATATGGAACGTTTCTATAAAAAAATCGAGAGTTAAAGTATATATTTTATTTGAAAATTTTGTCATGCTAATATAGGTGGGTTGTTGTGGCAGGCCAACTTTGTTTAACCAATGGGCTGAGGTGATGTTTCAACGACCGTTTCATATCGTAGCTCTACTGCCTTAAAACGATATAGGTTGTTTGGTTAACGTGAAGGTTATGAACCCATTACCATAGACCAGTTACTCCAAGTGCCGCAACAAATTCCCCCGATTTTGGGGGATGAGGTTTACTGCAGTACATTAGAAGAGGATTCAATACAAACTGACCGACCTTTATGATATGGAATTCATGTAATTAATTCCTCTTTGAATTCTTTGAAGCCCTTCATTGCATGATATTTGATTTTTGACACTGGTTGGTATACGGTATTTCATGATATGTTTCCAGAGACAAAACAGATTTTTTTTTAGAAAATTTTATTTTTTTTTATAACTTAAACATTATACAGTAGAACATTTACCATTAGGCCAACAATAAGGAAAATTTCTTACAAGAAAATAACTTGTGATTTTGTTTATGAGATTTACTACTTACAATACTAAAAATATTTCTATAAGAAACAAAATAAGTATTTATTGTTAGAATGAAGGAAAAATCTAAGAAAATATCTAATTATTTGGCCAATTTAAAATTGCGCAAGCCCCCAGTCTTTAAACGATTATGAATGCTTAGTTTTGTTGAATGTACTGCATTGCTCTCTGCCTCTGATGATTTGGCATCAATTTCGATGACATCATCATTATCGTTTGATTCGGCAAATGGATCAACACGTTCCGAACCACCAAAACCATTGAAAACGAAATTGGGTCCTAAGGGTTTCATTGACGATGTTTTGGCGCCAGCTCCAGCAGCTGCTGACAATCCTAATCTTGGTTTCTTAAATATTGAGTACTGAAAAAAAAACCAAAAAAAAATCATAATTATAATCATTTTTTGGAATCATTGAATGGTTTGTGTACCTTTTCACCCAAATCACTTTTAGCTTTTCGTACAGCGCCAGCTGTTTTACTGGGTGATATTTTAAGTGTGGTTATTTTTGCTGTTGTAACCTTGTGTCCCACCTCTGGTGGTTTGGCCGGATTGTCGAGGTTGCGTTTGAAGAGTGGCACTAAACCGACACTGCTAGATTTTATATTTAAATAGGGGGAGGATGATTCTTCAATCTTTTTAATATTTTCTTTCTGTAAAAATGAAAACAATGATAATTAGAAAAAGTCCAAAGCCTTCGTTGGTTTGGTGTATCCAACTTACAATTGTAGGAGAAATAGTATAACGCTTTTCTTCTTTGACTTTGGCAAATGGAGTTTTTTGTAATGTGTCCAAACTTGAACTGGATGTGTTGCTTTTTGAATCTTTGGAACTGCCACTTGCTTCCAAGGATTTTATCTGAAAAAAAGTAAAAGAAGAGAGTGATGATTATTAACTTTCTAAAATAAAAATGTTTAATCATTTAAAAACCACTTGAGCTAAGTTCATTTTAAATTTAATTTATTTCCTTTGCAATTAAAGCCAATTTATATTCATGTGACCAATTTAAAGTTAATTACAAAGATTCCACCTTATGTCAGCAATTTGTGTTTAGGTGGGTAGATATTTAAAGAAGTGTTAAATTCCATTTACAATATTCAGACTCAGTAAGAAAAATTTCCGATTTAAATGTAACTCATATCTTTCTTATTGCCAGCACGAAACCCCATGTAATTATACTTGATATATCTTACCTTTTCCAAAAGATTGTAATTTTCACTTTCCAATTGGGATATGCGTTCTTCTAGACTTCTAAAATACAAAAACATTAGTGCTATGGATTAAATATTTGCAAATGAAACATACTTGTGTATATCACGTTCTTTGCGCAAATCATTTTGTACTGCCTTCAATTGATTGCGTATATCAGCCTTTTTATGTTCACACACTCGTAATTCTCTACAGAGATGAGAAATTAACACTTAACATAAATTTCTATGGGAGTACTCCAAGCTAATTACCTTTTCAGTGTTGCTATACACACCGACAATACCTTTGGATCACTTTCGGTTTTAAGTAGTTTTTCAGCATCAGCCATTGAAGCTGTAAGTAGTGTATTGATACCATTTAAGGAATCAATTTGTGCCTTTAAACTAGTCACCTCATCTCGTAGACTATCCATTGTTTTGACTTGATTTTGCAGGACTTTAATCTGTAACGTAAATTATTTTATTTTAATGAAAATGTACATTTGAATGTTTTTAAATTACAAACCTTTTCAACATAATTGAGCACAACAAAATTGTTACTCTTCACTTCTTTTTCTAAGCCGGCTATTGTTTTCCTAGAAAGAAAAAAGTAAATATTTTAATTTTGAAAGGGAAAGGTTTCTGTAAGATTTTAAACCCGCTCAGAATAGTTTCCACTGGACCTATAACGATGGTGATCAAATTCCGACCACCCCATGGTATTGGGCAAAACTTTCGAAAGCATTAAGTCGTATGCGCATGTACATCAGACGAAAAAAAAGTTAAGAATGTTCAAATCTCCCATCTGGTGAAGCATATATTTATGTTTCGGAGACATTGTCAAGGTTAAATGTGTTAGATTGAGATTATCATGTAAACTAAGTAGATAGTTGTAATTTCATTCCTGTGTAATAAATGAAAAACTTTGCTTTGGTAGATAAGATATCGATGCTACCCAAAGCAACTAGCGTGGACGTACAAAGGCAGCACTGAAAGTGACGTCATTATTTTTTTCGAAATTTGTGTGTTTCAGCAGAAATGTAACAGACCACATTTAAAACCAGAAACATACCTTGGCATTGAACTTGATTAATGGTGTTAATACGAAGAGCGGTAACAAGTTACACCACTATTGAATTATTATGAATGAAAGCAGACATTTTTTTAACAATGACTTACATGCATTTCTTTTGTGTTTCCTTAGCACTTTTGATTTGTTCTTCGGCTTTGTTTAGTTCTTTTTCTTTCATTTTCAGCTGGAGATTTGCATTGTCCAACTGTTCCTGCAGTGAACCGACATCAATGCGACTGACATCCAAATTGGCTAAATTAAAGTAAACCCGAAATATATTGCGATCGGAACATTTGTTACGGCATTGTGGGCAGGTTTTTGATCTAAAAGAAATTTAAAAAAGGGTTAACGAATAAATTACAATGTTCAGCGTAGTGGCTATGGTATGTACCTTTCCAACCACTGTTTAAGACAGAGATAGTGAAACATGTGCCCACAAGTGGTTACATGCACATCATCGGACTGGGTAAAAAGTTCCGCACAGATCACACAATTTAAATTTAACATTTTTGCAATTTTCTAATAATAATAATAATACTAAATTAAACAGACATTAGACAAGGAAAATTTTGAACAACAGAGCAAAACTAATAAATATATCGCTTAAGGAAAATTGAATGTGAAGCACAATAGCTGCCTAAGGAATTTTGTTTTGTTGCCGTTTGCCAAAAAAAAATCACTGATATGCCATTTGTTGTTATTGTTAATTTTTTACTTTGGTAATTTGTTTTTGTTATTATTGTTTTGCGCCAATATTCATCTGTCATTTGCTGTAGTGCTTACTGAACATGACTAACAGTGTTATGTTATTTAGGGCACACTAAATTGTCGAGATAGGTAGCGTACGTTTTATGCGTATTGCGTTAAGACCGCATTTACATGCGCATATTATATGATGTGGATTTAAGAAATCGAGAAAATAAATTAAGGTTATTTACACAGGCTTTGAGATCATTTCAAATGACTCAGCTGGTATTACATATGCAAACTCACACTTGTTGACAAAAAGAAAAATTGTTACCTCGAATTTTATAATAAACTAGCTGACCTGGCAAACGTTGTTTTGCCTTATCAATGTTGCATCAATATAAGGTTGGTAAAAAAACATTTGATGCAATATTGATAGGCAAAACAACGTTTGCCGGGTCATTTGCCACTAAGTTTTTGTCAATAAAAAGTATTAACTGATACCCCAATGCAGGCCCAAACACATAACAGTTTAAAATTTGGTAGAACTTATTTCACCAAATGTTTTTTTTTTCATTAGAAGATCATGTTATTGCTCCAGTTATCATATCATTCGTGTTATTGCTCCAACGTTTTTACATTATCTTATCTTCTTGAAAGACTCTTAATTACAATGTCATTTTGTTCATGTCCAACCGCCCTTTTGATTTTTATATTGAAATCAGTATATAACTCGAAAAATGTTCGATTTGTTAGTTTTCAGATTGCCGTTATTGATTTGTATATGTGAAAAGTTTGGCCAATGTTGACGCCGTATACCTTCCTTTAATTGTAAATACCTGTTTTATATCTTATGGTACGTTTACAGAGGATTTCAATTGTCAATTCATTTGCATATATGTCAAATCAATCCTTATAAAGTAGGTTAACCCGGTAAAAAGTTCTAATGTATATGAAGTTTTAACTCTAAATCGTGAAATGTTGTAATCGGATTTGTTATATTCTCATATTTTTTTAAAACTTGATTTTAATTTAACATTTGAATAAGTTGTTGTTTAATACGGTATTTACATTAGAACTTTTTACCGGGTTAACCTACTTCATAAGGATTTATTTGGCATATATTCAAAGGAATTGAAATTTTAAACCCACTGGGTTAACCAAATCCGGTACA